GAACGCACAACTAGTGGGCTCCAAAAGGTGCTAACTTTTGCCACAAGTCTATGGTAGGCAGTTTATGATGAAGTCAATGAGTAGAATCAAATACTCTGGGTTCAATTTCTGTAACTGGGAGTGATATAAGTTCCGGAGAATGAGAACGCCAATGGTAAGATGTGGACATGTATAGAAACCGGTGTTGCGTAATTAGCGGTTTGTTCCCACCGACGCGAAAACAGGCTTAAATGGATTGATGGAGTGTAGTGATGGAAATAGTAAGAAATTTGGCATAAAAGTGTGGTGGAGTGTGTGGGGGTGCAAATAGGATAAAGCAGGGGTGGGCAAAGTAAGGAAGAGAAGGACAAAAGACGTCAGGTGAAGGAGAAAAATACTGGTGTCAATATGTGAATCGTTACCAAATCCTCAACAAGGAAAAAGAAAGTACAACAAATGCCCTGGTACCTCTCTGCATACGGGAACATCTTCACACTAAAAAAAGACTGCCACGATTCGGTTATGGCCTAGAAACCCAAGGTTGAGCCTATCGTTATAGCGAAAAAATCTCCGGGAAATAAAAACAGTGCAAAAAATACAGCTTCTCGGTCCAGAACAACTGCGGAAAGGGACAAAGAAAAAGACAAAAAGGTGTACCATTGGGTACAACAAACCCGAACAGTAAATGTTCCGGTACAAAAACACACTTTCCGGGAAAATCTACGGAGAATCACAACAAAAGTACCATTGAAGATCGGGTAACAATAACTTAGGTGAATCTGAGTAATAAATAAAGGATACTTTCGGATACACTAAGGGGGGTAGAAATAGACGTGCAACCAGTTTTGATAATCGATCGCTGCTTTACCAGAAAAAGCCGAGGGAAAAACTAACAAATCTTAAAAGCCACTGCAGCGAGACAAGTGGAAATGATATGGTGGGCGAAAGTACGTTAGGAATCAAAGTGCGGCGGATTAGATTACAAGGAAAATACTCCGGAATTAACGCATCTAGAGCGCCGGAAATCTGTAGGAAACTGATTGAAATGGGTGCGTAGTGCATAAGCTGGAGAGGGTAAAAAAACGAGGAGGGAAAAGGGGAAAGAGTGGAACAGAGAGAGATGAATATAGAACTGGGTCTAGTCGGATTGCTAAAGAAAATGAGGGTGACCTAGGACCGCACATCTACGGGCAGGAAAACTGCGACCGGAGGGGAAGATGCCGCCATGCCTAGTCGAGCAAGTGTGCAACGGATTGGTATTTAGAAACGAGGATTCAAAGAAAGGCATGGAAAACACAATGTGAACGAGAAGTGACAAGCGTTAGACGGAGCGTGGGCGAAAACATGAAAAATCAGTAAGGGCGAGGATTGACGCGGCACAAATGTGACGAAATAGCAGGTGTGAGCGACGGATTCTCGTGAGACAAAAGAAGAAGGAGGTGATTAATCGAAGAAATGAGGTAGGATTGGACGACATAACGCAAAACTGAGCTATTCCTAAAATAAATTGCTCGCCCAAATACTGCAAAAGAAAAATCTGTCTACTAACTCTGCATTAAAATGAACAACAAAAAGAAACAGAAGAAGAGGAAAAAAAAGGGGGGGGGGGGAAAAAAGAAGAAAGGAGAAAAAAAAGGACAAAAAAAAGGGCAAAGAAAGGGGGGGAAAACAGAGGGAAAAAGAGGAGGGAAAGGAAGAAGAGGAAAAAAATCAAATAGCTGTGTATTTACCGATAGGTTCACGGACATTCCGCACATCATTCGTTTCATACGAGCACACCAATCTGTACGCGAGGTCAGTCGGGTGGAGGGGACACATAGGGTGAGGGGTGAATTTATTCTCGGTGACAAGGTGTCGGGGGTAGAAAGTGGGGTCCTGCGTTAGCGTGAGATATCGGCGTTTTCTTCCTTCTTTCTTAGGTTTGGGTAAGCACCACTGTTGGAATTCCTGCTCGGCTGCTCGTATTTTCTATGTGGTTCTGGGGTACCAACGACGTTATTATAGCTGTGGCCCGGAATGTTTCTATAGATAATGGGAGTAGCTAAAAGCTCTCGTAGTCTACGGACTCAGCACAGAATTCATTGTGATTGCCAAAAGGGTTTGTCTTCTCTCTGGGGAAAGGTTCAGTCCGGTTCCTCAAACTTTGCCAAAACCAACATACAGGGGAGGTCGAGGCACTAACCTCAACATTAGTCCAACACAAACGTTGATAACACAACGCATGGGGCACACATAGAAACTAGGGAAGGAACCAATTTCTTTGTAATTGATATAAACAATTAGGGGGTATTATGAGATGTCGTACTAAGACTGGCTAAAGTAAAATTACATAATATAGGCAGCTATGAAGCAAGTGGTTGTCACGAGGCACAATCCAGGGGATACAAAATAATAGTCACAAATGGTGCGAAAATACGTCACTCAAGGATATAAAAAAAGGTATGTGTATGAATAAACGGAAACATGGAACATTTTCTACAAGAGTTCCTATGAACTCTTTATAATGGCGGAAATATCTTCAGTTGGGGATAGGGGGAGTATTTATAGAGATGCCAGCAGAAAAAAAGAGAATTGGGGGGTAAGTCTTAAGGGGTTACGGGCAAGATAAAAGAAACAATTATGGGGTGGCGCAGAACGAAATCTTTGAGTCGACAAGATATGGCGAAAAAGCAAACAGAAGAAATTATGCTCAAAGAAGAGGACACATAATGTAAAGTAGGTTAAAAGTTACTAGACATAGTAATATAAAACATGGGGACCTGGGGGGAGGGGGTATATGAGTAAAAATGGAAAAACTAAAGGAACCGAAAAGTGTGTAAGGAGAAAAACGAGAGTATTTGTCCAACGTAAACTGTGAACTATTTGTCTCTCCAACTCCCTTCCCTCCTCAGTTCTCCATGAGAGGAGGGACCTGACCTACACAGTGGACCACGTCATGAACTGGTCTCTGCAAATGGTCATGGCCCTCGAGTTTGTCCACAAGAAAGAAGTCCTCCATCGAGACATCAAACCCTCCAAGTCAGCTCCTCTACACCTGCACCCTGTCCCGGTTTTAGTTCGGGGCGTCCTGATATCCTTGTCCCGTCGGGGCGTCCTGATATCCTCTTCCTTTAGTGTACCCTGGATTTACCGCCAAGTTTAGGTCATCTCTCCCTTTGCCTTGTCCTGAACAGTTTGCAGTTCAGGACGTGTTGTTACGATGTGTAGAACCAGCTTGTGTCAGAGAGTCTTAGAGAATGAGGAAGAGAAGGGAAATTTTCGTATCCATACTAGAGGCCTGAAATGAAACTGAACCATGAGTTGTGGTACCACAGGTGCCAGGTTCTTCCATCTAACCCCTTCTGTAGCATTCTTCTGTTTGAAGATGGCCGAGTGCTGAAGTTGTGCGACTTTGGCACTGCTCGCAAGTTGGAACACACACTCACCAACGCAGTGGGAACTGTTCTCTACATGGCCCCTGAAGTCATAAAGAGTAAGCCCCTCTCATTAACTAACAATCTGCTACATCGAAGCTCGTTATCTTCTCCCTTCCCACCCTCCCGACCCCACCACCCCCTCCCACCAAGGTACCAATTACAGTCCAAACTGTGACGTCTACAGTTTCGGAGTTGTCCTGTGGGAGATGATCACCAGACGCAAAACCGTTCATCGTTGGCCTCAGAAATAAGGGAGTACCAGTACACTCCATCATGTTCAAGATAGCTGAAGGTAAGTATGTATGTAGTGCTGGTCATGTGACTTTCAGCCAATCAGATCCTCGTGCACTTAAAGAGAATGTGTCAGTACGTAAGGGCTAAGGCCAGTGCAAGAATGCAATTAAGTTTCTGTTTTTAGTAACCGTTTCTAAATTTAGCCCTTGTATATAATTGCCACATTGCCTTTAATGCACTGCAAAATGTGTTCCATATTCGTAGCCGAAACCTCATTTCAAAGCAGGTTTCCCAATATATTCCCCTGTCAGGTGGGCGACCTCCAATGATCCAGAATCTTCCGCAGTGTCTGGCCGATCTCCTGCACAAGTGAGACAATTATCACTCCGCCATTATCTCCCTGTTTGAACCTCCCGAAATGCTATCTCGTTTCCACCTTTCTGTTTTCCCCCTATCTCCCTACAATCATTCTCTTATCTCGCCCCCACCTTATTTTTCACTATCTTGCTCAAACAACCTTGTCTTCCCCCTATCTCGCCCCCACCTTTACTTTTCCACTATCTAGCTCTCCAACAACCTTGTCTTCCCCCTATCTCTCCCCACCTTTCCTTTCCCCCCTAAACCTTTCATCTTTCCCTCCTATACATCTCCCTTGTGTGTGAATGAAGTATATATTCTCCCCACTTGCTCCAGATGTTGGAGCGATGACTGCACCAAGAGACCGTCGATGGGTGAGATTCGAGAAAAACTGTCACGACTTGCCAAGAGGGTTGGCCTCCATCTCAACATGCCTCTCGTGAAGAGAAGGAAAGAGATCAGGAAGCTGGTCTCCGTCCCTGCTGTGAGCACTAATACAGTCAAACCTCTGAATAAGGAACACCTTGAGGACAGTTGAAAGTGTCCTTTATTCAGAGGTGTCCTTGTTGAGGCAGTACTGTGCAGCTGAACCAAAAGGAGGCATCTTTATTCCGATTCATTTCCGTAGTTCCCCTCCCCAGACCTGTTGACATGGCACCTGTTTGTAAACCACTTTAGTTTACTCGTGGTGTCAATTGTCCAAAAACAACTTTGCAGTTGAATAACTGTTTACAAACCGCTAAAAGTTTCTAAGTAACGATGGTTCTGGGGAAATGATGGAATATCTGGGTCTCAACTCTATGTTTCTCTTTTACTGTACACTTTATTCTATGCTTTTCTTTGGACACCAAACCCACTTTCCCTTTCCCTCCCACATCGTCCCTCCTTCTCTCCAGCCCTCTCACGAGAGGAAGACACCAGTGAGATCGCAGCAGTCCACCATTCAGGAGGACGACAGCCCCTACCAACAGTAGCTCTTCCTCCCCTCTTCCTATATAACCTCTCTGTGGACTCTCCTTCTCTTTATACTCTCTTTCTCCCTCTCACCCTCCCTCCCATTTTTCTTTCCTGTTTCTCTCTTCTCTCCTGTTTTGCTCTTCGTCTTTCTGTTCCCTTCCTACTGTGTGACTATATATGGCAAAGCACCATTCACTGCTATTATACTCTATGTACCTCAGCATTGACCTCACACATTAGTCCAGCACGTCCCTCCCTTCCTATATACAACTATTTTCATCCACTAACATCATTGAGTAAGACCCCATTCGTTAATTTCTGTATCAAGACCCCATTCGTTAATTTTTGTATTACTCTGACATTGACTAGAATTTTATTCCCATTAGCACTTTTATTTCTGCTAAATTTGGTTCTGCAATCTCACGCGCTCTCTCACTCCCATCTCTCAATATGTCCATCACGTAGCCTCTGTCTGTCTGAAGGCGATTAATTTCCTCACGAATAGGGGCCAACTCGCTGATCAGTAGCTCCGCAAGTTCGTCTTTCAAATGCACAGTCTGTTTTCCTTCAAACATTCGGCAGATTTTGTCCGGTGTCGAGTCACTAACGGCCGCAAAAATAGACACGAGATTTGAAACTCCCGGCCTTTCGTGGGGGTCAAAGGTCACACTTCCGGTGCAATCCGTGACGGCTTTCCTAATCTTGTTTCTGATGTCGTCGGACGAGTCAGTCAGGTTTATACGAGTCATGTCCTGGTTGTCTGATTTACTCATCTTTTGTAGAGGGTTTCTTAGACTCATGACTCGCTGGACTTCGCCTGTGTGTGTGTGGAAGCGAGATAGGGGGAAAGGCCAGAAAGTTTGGAGTGAGATAGGGGGAAAGACGAGAAAGTTTGGAGTGAGATAGGGGGAAAGGCCAGAAAGTTTGGAGTGAGATAGGGGGAAAGACGAGAAAGTTTGGAGCGAGATAGGGGGAAAGACGAAGGTTTGGAGCGAGCACACAGACCCAGTAATGGCTGAGGCTCAGTGAAGACCTGAGTGTTGTAGGCAGAGTTGAAGGATCTGGCGATGTCTCTGGCTAGCTCCAGGTGTTGTAGTTGATCCTCTCCTACTGGCACATGACTGGCTCTGGGGAGAGAGAGGAGGGAGAGAAGAGAAAATGGGAAAGGGTTGATTATCAAAAGGCCAACACACAGCACACAATTCACAAATTTGATGTGTATCATGAGGCAACATGAAATCATGTTGGCAGCGAAGTTTTTGGTGCAAAGGGAAAGACAGAAGCAGCTATGGACCCACACACTAGCTGAATGTAGAACACAGAAATGAACCAAATAGCCCAAAAAAAGTGTGGTCTCACTTGTAGATCAGAATGTCAGCCGCCTGCAGGACTGGATAGGCAAACAGTCCCAATCCTACCACATTAGTGTTGTCTGACATTGCCTTAGCCTGAGAATAGAGAGATTGAGAGATACAGTACATAGGTTTGATGGAGGGAGGGAAGATAGACATAGAATAGAGAGATTGAGAGATACAGTACATAGGTTTGATGGAGGGAGGGAAGATAGGCATAGAATAGAGAGATTGAGAGATACAGTACATAGGTTTGATGGAGGGAGGGAAGATAGACATAGAATAGAGAGATTGGGGGATACAGTACATAGGTTTGATGGAGGGAGGGAAGATAGACATAGAATAGAGAGATTGAGAGATACAGTACATAGGTTTGATGGAGGGAGGGAAGATAAACATAGACAGTGAATAAGTGAATGGGAGAGGGGGAAATTGGACGGCAAGAAAGAGGGAGGGGGCAGCAAAAAGAAAATGCAAGAAATATAACACATGATTGTGAGAAAGAGTGTAACCACAGTGCCAGGTTTGAATGATAATGTGTGAATCCAAAAGAATGTGGAGGGGGGAGGAGGGAGGAGGAGCAAGAAATAGAGACAGAGACCTTCCACTGTGTCATTCTATTCAGCCATCCCATTGGAGTTCTGCAACCCAGCAACCAGGCCAACTCTGCATGTCCAGACACCTGCCACAACAACACAACAACACAACATTCAACTCTTCTCAATTCTCTCTCTCTCTCTCTTGTACGTTTGGCACCATACTTGTGACTGCTGGAAGACGATGCTCTTCTTAGGGTCCACTCCGCACGCGAGAAGGCACGTGACCATGGCCAGTATGTTCTCTCTTAGCAGGAGAGGCGCCTGGAGGGAGGTCAGGGAGTGTAGATCAACGATGCTATAGAGGACGCTGTCGGAGCTGCTCTGGAGCTTCGCCCACTGCCGCAGGGCGCCCAGGTAGTTGCCAAGGTGAGCCGCACCGGACGGCTGGATCCCGGAGAATATGCGACGGATCCCTACGGACATTGGAATACGTAGTTCGTAGTTCCAGAAACCCACGTGGAATGTTTCCAAATAATGCACACCAACAACATGCTCACGTGAGCCACAACTTAGCCCCGCCCATTTTTTTTACAATTGAGCGGCCTTATGAATGTTGTGCAGCTAGTCCATAAACCAGAAGGTAAAGTTTTATAAGATGAAACCTGCATAGAGAGGTCCTTTGAATATTGAATCGTATTTATGGGGAGCAGCAAATCCAACTAAGGCCGTAGTTACGTCGTCAATACCGGACGGAGATAGCTACAGAGCTGTGAGAGAGACGACACGGTGTGTGTGTGTGTGTGTGTGTGGACAACGCGCATAGGAGGAAGGCATAGGTGAGCACGTATTGATTTACTCCCTGTATAGCAGCTACATTGTGCATGCATGTAAAATAAACGGTGGTTTATGGTGTGCGCGGCTCGCGGTGTGTGCGGTGTACTTAGCGCCGCAGGCCCTGAGCCCTTGTCGTTGTGTTCCGGACAAGCTGACGGCGCGCCAGCGGCTCTGCACGTTGCAGTCATCTGCTACTGCACCGCAGCCAGTGCTGTCCAGCTACACGACCTGTGCAAAAGTAGCTGCTCTAGCTAGCTAGCTAGCTACCAGCTGATACAACAAACACGCACAGGTTTTGTTTTGTGCATTAGCGTGTATTTTGCACCTCCTAAGTCAAGTGGCAAGCTGTAGCGACACAAAACTAGCTACGTGAAGTATGTCCTACACGCACTGGTCACGAAGTGCCACATCAAAAGAATAGTGTTCCCTAGTTCCCTTTTGCTCTTGAACTCAACATCCACTCCATTGAATCCTTCCTTACATACCTGTATATAGCTTACTACCCTTTTGAAAGTTCATTTCCCAAACCATGTAATGCATCTGTATGACGAAAGTCGTGCATGAGTGAACGTTGTGTATCTGCATAGCTGCATGTAATATGTCTCTGTATCTATGGCATATTATGTTGTTATGTGCGTAAAGCATGTCTACATGAGTGGCGGGTTTTGTATAGCCGTATACCTATGCAGAACGTGTGTATTGCTAAATTCAACATCAGTAGAAAGTTCAATATTCGTGAGGCAACGTTAACTGGTTTACTTACTACATTTGGCAACTTACTTGGGCGCCCTGCAGCAAAATGGTCATAAATACATGCATGGCATCAAAACCCCCAACATGCCTGCAGTTTGGTATATAAGCATACACCTCTAACTCTGTGGAGTACACTGACTTCTATAGCAGTCACATCTTGCTCTCTACACTCCCTGGTGGTTTAACAAAGAGTGTGTGATTGAGACTAGTTCGGTGTGCGTTTACGAGCCGGGTCCCTTTGAGATAGGAGACCTGTTTGGACAAGTCAACTGGTAGGGAGATATTTACACATGACTTTGTTCCCAAGAGCTTTGGCCCCAGAGTTTTTAGCAAGGGAATGGTAGAGAGACAAAGAAACAATGCTGAGGCAACATTTCTTCCCAACAAAGATAGTGTGGAGGGAGCAAATCTATCTATCCCGTCATTTGCAACACTGTGGTGGTGTACAATGTGCATGCAACTTTGGAAAACGAGTTGTCCGAATGTAGTTGTAGTGTTTGCTTTGCGTTTCCCTTGCGGCCTTACACGATAACTACCTGTGTTCATCTCTCTGCCCTGCACCTCCAGAGGTGGATTACATAGATATCCACTGATTATTTGTGTGTTGATTAGATCTTAATCACAGGGAATTGGAGGGGTTTGGCGAATCTACTCTGCCATAATATGAATGTACATAAAATTGTTTCTCTACTGCACACGGTGCCAATCAGACGATTCAAAGTATAACGGTGAATTGGGCAAAACTAGGACCAGAAGAAGCGCCTCCCACAGTGCTAATAATAATACCATAGAGTAGATTTGTTTGGCCAAAATCGACACACATTCTCAACATGGGCCGTAGCTGCTCTTGTTATGACAGAGAGCTGGTTACTATGGCATCACTACGCTAGTCAACGATATACAACATACAGATGTTGGTGAGTGAGGAATAATGGTGTACACATGTTTCCTATTACGGAGTATGTAACTCACACCACATGACACTTGTTGGATTACACCACTGGGTTAGTGAGGTGCTGTGCAAGCCATGAGGGTAGATCTTCCATTTGCAGTGCTTCTTTCTGTGTAAAGCGTCCCACCTTGTGAGCTAATACGCCACATAGCAAAAATATTGTCCACACATAGTCTTCAATAGTGTATATCTGTAGATAAACGTGAATTGTCTCTCATTTTGCTGCGATAAAGCAATGGCAAGTGGCGTCAGTCACAATTTGTTTTGACCAGTGAGCACGCTCATGTAGTTGCTTGCAACAACAATTCAGAGCTTTTGTGAACAAGCTGTACTGTTCCACAACCCTCACGGATCAGTACAAAAGATGGTTCAGCTGGGTGTGGTGACAATAATAACAAGTATTGGCTGTACGACTAGGTGAACAACCAGCAATCCCCACTCCTTGAATAATTTTCTCCTCTAAAGTGTAATCATTGTGCCCTCCTTAACTTGTGTAGCTCACACACGCCCCTTCTGAAATTTTCCAAGAAAACACTCGTGTTTTTCGTTCCACTTGTTTTCTGCCTCATGTCGTCGTCACTGGCCTTGCTAATGCAGCTGGAGCCAACGGTCCATGAATATCGCAGGAATGTTTGCTATTCAGTTTTGTTTCAATGTGTTGCATGATGTTATGTAAGTGGTGTGTGTGAACAACATGTACAACATGTGTCGGGATATTACAGAAGTACATGACTCTGTACATGAATGTACATGAAAGTTTACATGCAAGTTTTGCTGCCAAAAGTCTGTCTACATGAAAGTTAGATTATACATGATAATTGTCAGTAATCAATTCAGGAATGTCTACAATTACATCTCTCTCTCTCCTCTCACACAGATAATGAGCAACGGGCACCCTCCCTCCTCCCACTCCCTCACAACCTCCACGAGACTCACCAAAAGCGACAGAGAGTACATGAACATCAATTTCCTCAACGGTGAAATCGACACATCGAGTCTCCCGCTGGCCCCCGGCTCTGGAATAGAATACAGACACGAGTACGTCAATCTCCCCCTGGTGACGTCCGATTCCGGTACCGGAATGGAACCCGGGAAAGAACCGGAACGGAAAATCGGGAACGGGGCGGTCGTCAGGGGAAAGTTGGAGCGATACAGTGCGACTTTTTGCGAAGGTAATGACTCACCGCCTCCCTTACCTATCAAACAGAAGAGATCCGATTCCTACGTCCCCGCGTCTCATGCCACCATACCAACACGGAATGGAGTCCCGCCACGAAGAGTGGTGGAGTGCGAGCAGTGTAGCAATCTAAAGGAGCAGTTGATGCTGTGGGAGCTGGGGATGAGTGGGTTGACGCGGCAATACAGCCAGATTCTGGCGCAGCTGAACCACGCGAGGGACGCGGCAATGATCCTCGAGTGCAAGATGAAGGAGAACTGGGGGACGGGGAAGAAGGAGGAAGTGGGGAGAAAGTCTGGGGGAGAGAGAGAGGGAAGGGATAAGGAGAAGAAGGAGGAAGTGGGGAGAAAGTCTGGGGGAGAGAGAGAGGGAAGGGAGAAGGAGAAGGAGATTGGGTCGAGTTTGCGAGTCGAGAGTGCGGAAGTGAAGGCAGCGAGGAGAAAGACGATGCTGGATCCTGTGGACGAGAACAGTATCGCGCAGTCTCAGACCATGTCACCGACAAAGACGACCACACTAGCCGACCAAATGTATCCCCAGAGAACCGGAGAAGCCACAGAGGGTGGAGGGGGAGGGGGGAGCTCGAAGGGGGTAGCCCCTGGGTCGTTTCCAACTGATTATGATGAAAAATTAACGGAGTTATCGACTCGACTCTGTCGAGCCATCGATCTTTGCCAGCAACTGGCGGTAGCTTCGTTCAAAACCAACTCTTCCAATCTACTGAGGAAGAAGAGAGATCTATTGGGGAGGAAAACGAGTACGCCCCTCTCGTTAACACCCGATATCCCGCGGAAACAGACGACGTCGTCGTGGTGGCGACCGCTGGTGAAGGTTGAGGAAGGGAGAGAGGGAAGTAAAACGAACACGAAACGAGGGGTCCTCACTCGAATGGAGACAGAACCCGCAATGAAAATCAGCAACTCACGGATCTGCGAAGAAGAAGAAGATGAAGAAAAAATGGAGTTGGAAAAGCAGCGGAAAAGAGGGAGAAAAAGGGGAAGGAGAAGAAGGAAAAGGAAAAGAAAGAGGAGGACAAAAATAGGAAAAACAAGAAAAACTCTCCAGCGAGCGTGTCTCGTTCAAAGTCCCGCTATATCCCGAAAAAGGACAGCCGTCCCGTTCGTCGATGGCTGGGGACCTGTTTGCTGGCAGGGAGACCCAGCCGGTGAGGAGTCACATGATGTCGCTCATCGCCGCCGAGGAGAAGGGGGCGGGGCAGGTGGGCGAGGCAGGGGCGGAGCCTCAGGTGGTGGTGGTGGGTAGCAGTGGGTCTGAAGAGGGAGACGAGCTAATGATGAGTCAGAGCAGCGCCTTCTCAGACACGGACGTGAAACAGGTGATTATCACATGACATGGTGGGCACACATACAGTGATGCAGCATCTTTCAGTTTCAATTCGTTGTTGTAAGACAAACATTGATTTACTATCCTGTGTGTACTTACATACATACATACATACATACATAACTGTATGGGTTTGCATACACACTAATGTATTAACAGGTTGCTTGTGGTAAAGTAGTGTATACATTTCACTTTCAGTTCATAGTGGTAAAATAAACTTATACACTCGTTAGATTCCCTCCATTATAGCGGCACATTGGCGAGCGAACGTGAGTTCAAAATTTCAGCAGGTGACACTTTATTAGAGTAATGCAATGTGAGATTTCAGCAGTTTGACCTGTGATTAGAGCATTAGCATTACAGTGTATGTGGCAGCAATGTGTAGTGGGTGCAATTTGAACCACTTAGGTGCATGCTTGCCTCGTTTGCCAAATGATGAACAAGTTTGTTGTGTGTGTTTGGATCAAACCACTACATGATATATATGCCGGCTTCCTTCCTGTTTGTCAAATGATGAACAAGTTTGTTGTGTCTGTGTGTGTGTGTGTGGTATATATGTTTTTGGATCTAACTGCTACATACATACATACATACATACATACATACATACATACATACATACATACATACATACATACATCATACACATACATACATAGGTGTGCTTGCTTCCCATTTGCCAATTGCGACAAGTTTGTTGTGTGTGTGTGTGTGTGGTGTGTTAGCGTAGCTCTTTCTGTTTCATGGTAATTGGTGTTGTTTGTGATCAGGTGATGACCAAGATTGCACTACTGGAGGACGAGAGGCTCAAGTTGCTGGAGACCATTGATCAGATGCAGAACGACAATCAGCGGAGTGTGGGCGCGGAGCGGGAGAGGGAAGAGAGAGAGGGAGAGGGCTAGAGATGAGCGATAGAGAGAGATGGAGAGGGAGCGAGTGTCGGCGAGAGTGAGCGAGAGGAAAAACAAATGTTTACCCCAACAGCTATCCGAGTCCTGCTTCTTCATATTTCCAGAACTGCGGAGAGTGGGAGGTCCAGAAAAGGTGGCACGATATAGGTGAATGAGGCGGGATGATGCGAGGGAGCTGTCAGCGCTAAACTAGAAAACTAGCTTTTCGAAATCCACTACCAAATCACTATAAACCTTTTTTGGATTTTGTCTAGCTCTAAAAGTTCCAAAGTTCACAGATTTCAAACTGCCAAAGTCATACAGATGATATTCACAGATGACTCTGTTTTATACATGGATATTTTCATAACCTGCTTTAGCTAGAACCACTGTTTTCCAACCACATCCTTAAAGTTAGTTAACTGACGTGGTTTCTAAAGCAGTTTGCACCATTAACACACGTACACTTTGCAAACAGTATTGTTTCACTGGGCATTAGAGGATTTGCACCGTTTTGTATTTTCTGAAAGTCGGCCATTTTGGAGGGAAAATCCGCAGCACTCTTCTTTTCGTAATTTGCCCTCCAATTGCTGCCATGCATTGCTACGGAAACGTGTGTTAATTACTTCCGTGAAGACGACTGTCTTCTCCGTCTCCCTCCCCGGCAGGTGAGGCTGTCGCTCCAGGAGACGGTGGGAGATCTCGGGAGAACAAGGATCTGCAGTTGACTCTGGCCATGCAGGATCTGACCATCGCCACCGACGAGATCAGGATGGTGGCTCGTCTTCGGTCACAGCTGGACAACATGGAGAGGTGAGGAAGGGAAGGGAGGAACCACTGCAATCAGTAACTAAAGGACTGATGGCTTTGGTGGATTGACAATCAAGGCTAGAGTGTGACTCAGTAGTGTGAGAGAAAGGTCTTATTCAACTTGTGTGTTTGTTGTTTCAATGTATTGGTATAATAGGGTCCACGTAAAGGTGTTGTAAATAGAAGTGTTTTCAACATACATTACATTCGAATTTGATTTGAATTGAACCCCTCCCCCCTCTCCTCATCCAGAGAGAGACAGGAAACGCTAGAGAAACTAAACAGCCTGGAGGACGAGAGTGCGGCGGTGAAGGTCTCCCTCATCCAGCTGCTACAGGAGAAGTCCGCCACCAACAAGACACTGGCTCTGGAGAACTGGAGACTCAGACAAGCTGTGAGTGAACCTCAACAGATATAGAGTTGGGCTTGTCGTCTCACTTGCCCATGTCGCTGCTGTGTGCTGTAATTAAGCATATAGCCCAACACATGCTGTGTATATACATACATACGTTTGCATGTAGCACAACTAGTGTTACACAATACTACCCCAAGACGAGGTCCATAGATGCCACCCGCCCCCCTCCTCTCTCCGTAGGTAAAACAAGGAGACTCACTACCCAGAACCAACTCTAGGTCTGGTGCAAAAGACGAACCGCCACTCAACTACCTGAAGGTATGCATGCAATCACCAACACAGCAGCTAGGGGAAAGGCGCCGAATAAAGTATTTCTAAGTAAAGAAGAGCTACCCTAGGTTGGATTCAAACCCACGACACTCTGATCTCTAGGAAGAGTGCTCTACCAGCACAGTTTAGCAGGCATGGGTCATTTGTGGTGCTCATTTATGCGTTGTTTTGTTTTACGCTCAATTGCACATCTTACTGTAGTCTGTCTGTCTGTCTGTCTGTCTGTCTGTTAACGACTATTCTCGCAACGAGGCAGCTTATGAGATACCAACAGCTACATGGCCTAGGCTAGAAAAATAAAATGGCGATTTTGCGTGGCCCAACCCATCAATAAGCGGTGCGCATGCGTGTATTAGACGCAGTATGCTGGACCTGATCGATCCGCTTGCTCTGTGTACCTTGGAAGCACAAGAAGCCACAGCAAAGGGTGTGTATCGACTCCCGCATGCTATCTACTACTGTAGCTAGCCAGTGTCAGACTCTCCGCGAGCTATATACTAGCGGGAGACCGCGAGTAAACGCCAATCGCCCCAGCCCATCTATTAGCGGTATTATACCGCAGTTCGCCGAGGGTTTGCACTTCAGTGCTTTTCATTTACGCTGTTCCCATTCAAGTAATGGTGGTGGTCTGATGGATAAGCACCCCCTCTCTTGATCGTGAGGTCCCTGGTTCGATCCCGGGTGTGTACGCCTTTTTTACAATGATGTAATAGTAGGAGTGTTGGTATATATGGGTTTGCACTTTAGTGCTTTTCATTTAGTCTGCAAACACTGGAAAGATTGGTGCAGTACTACCATTTTCATCTCTTTTGTAGTTTAATTTTCTGTCTGTCTGTCTGTCTGTGTGTCTGTATGTATGTCTGTCTGTCTGTCTGTCTGTGTGTCTGTATGTATGTCTGTCTGTCTGTCTGTATGTATGTCTGTATGTCTGTATGTATGTCTGTCTGTCTGTCTGGCCCATGCAGGATGAAGACCTGACAAACTACGTCCACAAACAGGGATTTCTCGTCAAACAGGGCAGACGAGTCAAGAACTGGAAACGCCGGTTGTTTGTCCTGGATTCAACCGGACTGTCCTATTACAAGACGGAGCAGCCGGTCCAGAGAGTCAGTCTGTGTGACATTCAGCAGATTCAGGTCTCCGCGCAACCAGTGAGTACTCCACTAGGAAGACCGTAGCTCCCAATCCTTCTCCGTATGTGGAGAGGTGTTCTTTTTACCAACTGGTGCCAAGTAAACGTGAATTTTGGCATAACCAGGCACTTCACAAGTCATGTGAACATACCGTTGGCCCCTAGCCACAAAAGGAGAGGGTTTGGTCTTAGTGTTGGGGCCTTGGTATGAGGGTGGTACCCCACCCTTTACTATTCTTTCTCGTTAATCTTCCCTTTTTCTCTCTCCCTCTCGCCCCTCCCTCCTAACTTCTCTATATACGTCTTTCTACTTTCTTCTTTCTCTCTCATTTTTCTCTCTCTCTTTTTCATTTTTCTTCTTCCCTCCCTTCACCCCCCCTGATCAGTACTGTCCTACCTCACATGTTCGAAGTCCACACCCCCGAACGAACCTTCCTTCTCTCCGCCCCCTCCGAAGACGAAATGCAATCCTGGGTCGGAATGCTTCAGACTCTCAAGCAGTTCGCTAGAATCCGAGCGCGCAGATTCGTGGACGATACCTAAAAGAAAACAAAACCCAACTACGCCCCAATGGTTATCAAATGCTGTTCTCCACCAAATCTTAGTAAAGAACAGTTTAGCGGTCGCGGAAGGAAGGGGAGGAGGAGGGAAAGAGGGGCCAAGTACGACGCAGTCGGTGACAACAGGGTTAACGGTGAGAGGTTCGGAGGAGGGCGGGACAGTGGGTGTGGCTTCAGGTGAAGGGGAACCCCTGTCATGAGGAGAGAGAGGGAGGAAGATATGGAGTTTCGCCGACCGCGCAGCCAGGCGTAAGTGTTTAATTCAGCATTGCTTTGGTGTACAACAAGTAACCATCACAATATTTTTATGTAACACAAAATTTTCCCAAATTGCTCATAACTTTATGCATTTGGAATGTGGTTGGTGTAAGTGGCACGCTAAAAAAACATTTGTTAAAAAATGCTTGTCACCGTTTCATAAAATCAACAAAAGTGGTTTGTTGCAAAAAGTGTGTGTTCTCTGTATATATCAGGATAATGATAATGAAGGAGTTGTCTACTGGACGAAGCCATGCCAGACTCTACCAGACCTCATTCCGTTATGCTGCCCTCCGTCCCTGGTCTGGAATGGGGATTTGTGGGAGGGACTGAGACCATTCCGGAACACCCCTCTCTTGAATCCAGTGTCACCTACAACAGAGGTATACTTACACACTAACTAGATTGTAGGGATGACCCTAATATCTCCTCACTGACTTCCATATTACGTGTGGCACCAAACACAAAAGTAGCTTTCATGCCCTATGCCTATTAGTGCCAAGGTTCTTTAACCATATATAATGCCAGAGTATAATGACTATATAGGTGGTTTGTTTGCCAGTAGTAATAGTAATAGTTGTAAGTCAGTATTATAGATAGTGAGTAAATCATGGAACAATGTTTGTGTAACAATACCCCAAAAGACAGCTTACTCTACACTTGATCTCCAAAAACAGTCTCGCATTCAATCATTCCCATTTTGTGATGCTTTGCCAACTCGACTACCATGATGCACTGAAAGTTCACGTAGTTTACCAGCATCTTACGCATACATGTCAATTTTGTCTGTCCCCACTCAGTTCTGTCCCAGTCTCATCCCGGTACTGGCAGCTCCATTCCTGGCATCACCTTGGAAACATGACCACACCCACTCTCTTTTAATTATCATTACATCATAATTATAGTTGTCACGTCATTTGTGTTTAAAACACCCTGACAAGAAGTTTTCTAATTATTGTTTTTGTGTCAAGCAAAAGTCAAAAAATCATTATAATTATAATAAATACACAGGTTCTCTGTTACTATGTTTGGTCTTTCAAGCCTAATATAATTATAATACCTGTGCATCTGTATGTACACACGTTATTAGAAAAAGTCCCTAAACTTGGGACTGAAGTATATAGCAGCAGTATATAGCACTACCTATTTCTGGTGACATAATGTTACGTAAGTGTTCGGTTGGGTGGTCACACTGAAATGGAGCCATCTCTGAAATCAGTCTTCCCAATCAGGCAGTTGATGAGGACCGGCTTCTTCTCCTCCCGAGACACCTCCTGCGCTCGATGGAGGGTCTCTTTTATCGCCGCGTCATCCGAGTCTCGATCCAGAAGGAAACCACGCCCACCGAATCCCTCGGCAACCGTCTCGTAGCTACGGTAGTCAAGGAGACAGGCCACGTTGGATTTGAACATCGGGACTTGCTCGCGGGCGATTTGAGTCCAGCAAGCATCGTTTCCAACCAACGCAACGACGGGGAGATTAAACCTCGCGAAAGTGTCGAATTCTGGTACGCTAAAACCGAGCGCGCCATCTCCGTATATTATCCACACGTCCGAATCAGGTCGGCACAGCTTGGCACCCAGAGCAAAGCCTCCTCCAACGCGAGAGTTCCGTAGGGCCCCGGATCGAGCCAGCAAAGTGGGCCACGAGGTCGGAGAATGTACGCCGCACTTCCGACGAAATCCCCACCATCTGCGATTATGACGCTGTTTTCGCTCATAACCTCCTCTGTTAGGTACAGAACGTTGAGGGGGTTCAGATGCTCTTGGGGGAGGTTGCGGGATTTCTTGCGGTTCTCCGCTTCTTTTTCAAAGTCGCGAGATTTGAGCGTCGAAAGCCACTCGCTCGGGCAGCTGAACCTGGTCAGGGCCTGCGATAGTGCGAGAATAAAGCATCCCGGGTCACCGTGAACGCTCTTTCGCACTTTGAAGAAAACGTCCGTGTTCATGGTAAGGTTGGATTTCGATCGGTTCACCATAACGACTTGGCTCGAGCGCTTGAAGACTCGACCGTAGCTGAGACGAAAGTCTGCCACTGCGCCAGCGCAGACAACGACGTCGGCCTCTTTGAGAGCGTCTTTTCTCCGCTGTCGAATGTGGAGGGCGCTGTTCCGTCCCAGCAGACCGCGAGCCATTCCACCAAGGAAACACGGAATCCCCATCGCTTCTAGTGCCGCCTTCACGTTCTGGGCTTTTGTCGGCGGTAGAGTCACCTGACTTCCCAGAAGGAAAACCGGTTTCTGGGACCCGCGGAGCAGGTTTGCTACCTCGGTGATGTCGTTGGGGGTGTGTCGGGGGAAGTGGGGGATAATGGGGGTAAGGCTCTGGTCGACCCAGGCGTCGGCAAACAATCGATTGAGATAATTCTCCAGATACCAGTTGGTGATTTTCTGACCGAAAGACTTGGCTGGAGATTTCGGAAACAGTCCATCGCTGACTAGCTTGTACGGATAGAGAACGTCTATGGGCAGCTCCAGAAACACGGGTCCGGGCACGCCGCTCTGGGCCTCGTAGATGGCCTTACGCAACGCGGGGACAATATCCCGGACCCGCGTTACGGTGGCGACGTGTTTGCAGAGCGTCTTGCAGAGGGACAGCTGGTCGATGTCTTGGAGAGCTCCGCGACCTTTTAGTGCGTTAGCAGACGCTCCTCCGAGCAGGAGAACGGGTGATTCGGCCATCTTGGCGTTCTGGAGAGCCGTCACGGTGTTGGTGACGCCGGGCCCTGCCGTAACGCAAGCCACACCGATCACGCCGGAGAGACGCGACACGGCATCAGCGGCAAACGCGGCGTTCCCCTCGAACCTCGTGTCCACCACTCGAATCCCTTCTTTCTCGCAGGCGACAAGGACGGGGGAAATGTGCCCCCCGCACAGCGTAAAGACGAACTTGACCCCGTGTGCCCTGAGTACGGCGGCCACCAGCTCCCCCCCGTGTCTCTCCGAGTCCTTCTCCACCTTCCTGAAGAGGAGACCGAGCAGCTCGAACCGCTGGACGAGGAAGGCAATGGTCGTGGCTAGCAGAGCGACTCCCACACCCAGGAACCCTGTCCAAGAGATCTCCGGGAGATACTCCGCAACGTCCTCCAACTGCATCGCTCCCGGGACTAGACGCTTCTCTCTAGTCTTTGCTTCAAGATCGAACGTGGACTTGGGCCGGGGGCGGCGCCGCGCCGGGCACGGATACGTTTGCGCATGCGCTGAATCATTCTCTAGCTCTCTACTGCCGTTTGACACAAAGAGTGGTGAGCCCAGTATGTAACGTATTACATGAGCACCTACAAAACTAGATTTTAAAAAATCAAGTCCAAAAATATGCTACCCCACTCCATCAAAAAAATAAAAAAGGCAAACTTCACTGTGCTCGTTAATTAATTTAGCGAAGTGGCTTTGGAATATTGTCTATCACCCACTGCTTCACATCCTTGGCTACACCACCGAGGTTGACAGCAGGAGCTTTTAGAGCCTTTATCAGAAACCTCCACGTGTAGTTTTCATCTTTCTTTTTCCACTCACTAAGAACTTCAAGGGTTTGCCTCTTCACATCTAGGGGATGGTTACTCTCTATTATCCCGAATTCACACTTCTCCAGACCGAGCTCAATTGCCAGAAACTCTAGTTCTTTGCCAGTAACTTTCGGTGTCACCTGGTTCGCCAGGGCTTGCGTACTTGGTTCCATATCTACAGAGGTACAAAAGAGTGCAATAAAAAGTCATGCTGGCAGCCTTTAGGCCACTCCAAGTTGTATACTGGTTTCTAGTCCCCCGCGCGCCCGCACCAGTTTTGGTAATTCTGCGCATGCTCTGCTGTGTGTACTACGTATAATTATTTTGACCCACTATGAATTTTTGTGGTCATTACTACGCGTATATATACTAATGCCATGAGGAACCTCGCCACCCCGCATCTTGAGCCTCTGACCAGAAACCGGAGTGGCCTTATCACAATTGAATTATCTCAAGGGCCAGACCCTCCCCGGGCATTAGTGAGCTTTTCATGCTTGGTAAATTGCCAACATAGCTACCTGCTTGGCTGCAATCTTCAAGCAAGAAGCTTAGCTAACGATGCATACAAAAGGCGTGTGAACCCTACATAAGCATAGCTGCAGTAGCATATTATATAGCTTCGTAACGGAGCTCTAGCGCTAGCTAGCTATAGCATTATCCTTCTCACGATAGATATACATTTACCGAAACGACTATCCTCATCCTCCTGCGAAGTCTTCTTTTCTGCGCTCACTGTTTTCTGCCCCTGCTGCTCCATGAAGATACTAGCTTGTTTCCCTGGGTTTGTATGAACACCCTCGCTTGTTGTTTCGCTCCGCCACACCTCTCTATTACGTCACGAATAGTAATAATCTATTCGTGACGTAATAGGGTCCCGCCCCCGGCCCGCGCGCTAGAGACACACCGAGGTGAAAGGTCGCACACGTGGGCCGTGGGTCCGAGTGGCAGCTTTCTTCTATAGTGAACATGCCGACAGTTCGCGACAGGAATCTAAAGAAGCTTCGCAGGATGAAGCAGAAAGCCAGGCAGAAGGTCAAAGCTAAGATGAACGACAGACAACCTGACGGTATGCCTTCTTATAGTCGGGACTCCTATGTATTGTAGTGTTCTGTGTTCTGCCTTTTTAGTGTACCATCGAGAAATAGCACGTCCCTTTATAGATCATTGAGCTTCTTGTTTCCTGTTTCAGAAATAGCCAGTGAGGAGGTGGAAGAAGTGAAAGGAGTGGAGGAGAAGGTGGTAGATGTTGGAGGAGGTAGTGGGGAGAGGGAAGAGGGGGAGGGGGAGAGGATGAAGGGGAGGAAGAGGAAGACGGAGAAGGGAGAAGGAGTTGGGAAGAGAAAGAAGATCAAGGGAACTGAGAACGAGGAAGAAGAAGAAGAGGAGGAGAAAGAGGTAGAGTGTGAGGAGAATGAAGGACAGACAAGTGAAGACGATGAAAAGCAGAAAGGAATTGGACAAACTGTTAGGAAGAGGTAATGGACTTGTTTCTAGATCATAAACATACAGTATGCAAACCAAATGTGCATGATTTGATATGCCATTGACTTTCTGTATGGTAATATATTCGGCAAGCTCATACTCTTTTTAGCAGTTATTTACTACATTTGGAGCTACCATTAAATACTTCCATGTTTCCAGTAAACATTTTAGATCCCGTGAAAGTATTACGTAATGTCCATGTTGCATATCAGGAGAGGTGACAGAAGAAGACCGGCTGTTCTCCTCTCTGTCTGACGTGGTGTCCGACAAGACACTGCAAGCCATCGGAGAGATGGGGATTCACTCACATGATGGAGATTCAGTACAGGTCCATCAGACCACTACTGCTGGGCAAGTTAGTGAGACAATTCTGTCAATTAATGATAACGAAGGAGTTAATAAATAACGATGGGAATGTGTCGGTAGGTAAGAGGTTAATTTAAGATAGAACTAAAACAATAGGGTCAGTGCAAGAATGTTGCATGTTCTAAACCTTATGTAGCATATTCTCTTTACAAAACTCATTTAGAATTTATCCAAGGGGTATATACTCCCAGTTCCCCCCTAAATAAACCCCTGATGATATTGAATATTCCCTAAATTCCCTAAATAAACCCCTGATGATGATAATTTCAGTCGATTGTGTTTCTCCCAGAGACCTGATGGGAGCTGCCAGGACTGGCAGCGGAAAGACACTCGCGTTTCTCATACCTGCCGTCGAGTTGCTCTACAAACTCAACTTCATGCCAAGAAATGGTACATATGTAGCAGCTATGCCGAACTTCGTTGTTTGACACACCTCTCTCTCTTTACCTCCCTCGCTACTAATGTTTCCTCCACTCCTTTGCCTGCATACGTTTCAGTGGACTCGTTCATAAAACCAAAATGAATTAATCTTACAGGAATAGACGGTGCTTTAATCGGTTTGTAGCCCAACTAAATAGTGTTTAAATAGCTCGCTCTCCTCCCTCTCTCCCTCCCTCCCTCCCTCCCTCTCCTCCCTCCTCTCATCCTCTCCTCACCCCAGGCACAGGAGTGATAATCATCTCACCAACTCGAGAACTCTCGCTCCAGACGTACGGAGTTGTCACCGATCTTGTGTCCCGTCATCACCACACCCACGGGATCGTCATGGGCGGAGCCAACCGCAAGGTGGAGGCGGAGAAACTGAGCAAAGGGGTTAATCTCTTGGTGGCCACGCCCGGGCGGCTTCTAGATCATCTCCAGGTCTGTATGTGTATTAATCTACAATAATATGCCTGTTTATGGTGTGTTGTCATATAGCGGCTCTCCCTAAACCAGAGCAGTTTTTAACCCAAAAAAGTCTGACTAGAAGCAAAGATAATTGGAAATCCCACTCTTGAAACCTCTCTCTCTGAATAGATTTACACAAAACTCTTTCTCCCCCAGAACACACAGGGGTTTGTCTACCACAGCCTCCAGTGTCTGGTGATCGACGAGGCTGACCGGATTCTTCAGATCGGCTTCGAGGAAGAGATGAGACAAATCATCAAACTCCTGCCCCGTGAGCGAATGCACCTTAAACATTGCCTCCATCATAGTATTAAACATTGTTGTTAACATTGCTTCTAACTAAACTTCACCAAGTCACCCATAAACCTGGGTGTGTCCCCCTTCCCCCAAATCCTCACTGTTCAATGCATAGTTTGTCATTTGCACCACTTAGTACACCATTCGTTGTAGTACTTGCCCCACATTTGGAGTGTTTTACCTCTATCGTACTGTCGCCAGGAAATTGTGTAGAAATAATGATCGATCTGTAATATTGAGAGCTTGTTTAAGCCTGCATATACACCTAACACTGATATTTCATGTACAGTGAAGTCACATGATCTCATGATATCAGTGGTCACATGACAGTCACACTTGGTCACATGATCCCCAGGGAAGCGACAGACGGTGCTGTTCTCTGCGACGCAGACCAAGAACGTGGAGGATCTCGCCAGGATATCTCTGAGGAAGGCTCCTCTCTATGTCGGAGTTGACGACGACAAGGAGACCTCCACTGTGGACGGACTTGAACAAGTTAGCTTTCTTACGTACTTTTATCTGAATTCCGAGATCGTAGATCAGGTATATAGCATATTAGTCAGCTACACATGTAGCCATCTGCAACAGTGGAACCCCTCTGATCTGGACACAATGGGACAGAAGAAAGTCTCTGTATTTGAGAGGTGTGCCTATTTCAGGGGTTAAATTACATGCAAGAACTGGTCTTGGGTAAGGAGGTGTTCTTATTAGAGAGGTGTCCTCATTTCAGGGGTTAAATTGCATGCAAGAACTGTTCTTGGGTGAGGAGGTGTTCTTATTAGAGAGGTGTCCTTTATTTCAGGGGTTAAATTACATGCAAGAACTGTTCTTGGGTGAGGAGGTGTTCTTATTAGAGAGGTGTCCTCATTTCAGGGGTTAAATTGCATGCAAGAACTGTTCTTGGGTAAGGAGGTGTTCTTATTAGAGAGGTGTCCTCATTTCAGGGGTTATATTGCATGCAAGAACTGTTCTTGGGTGAGGAGGTGTTCTTATTAGAGAGGTGTCCTCATTTCAGGGGTTAAATTGCATGCAAGAACTGTTCTTGGGTGAGGAGGTGTTCTTATTAGAGAGGTGTCCTCATTTCAGGGGTTAAATTGCATGCAAGAACTGTTCTTGGGTAAGGAGGTGTTCTTATTAGAGAGGTGTCCTCATTTCAGGGGTTAAATTGCATGCAAGAACTGTTCTTGGGTAAGGAGGTGTTCTTATTAGAGAGGTGTCCTTTATTTCATGGGTTAAATTGCATGCAAGAACTGTTCTTGGGCAAGGAGGTGTTCTGATGATGATGATTAGAGAGGTGTCCTCATTTCAGGGGTTAAATTGCATGCAAGAACTGTTCTTGGGTAAGGAGGTGTTCTGATGATGATGATTAGAGAGGTGTCCTCATTTCAGGGGTTAAATTGCATGCAAGAACTGTTCTTGTGTGAGGAGGTGTTCTTATTAGAGAGGTGTCCTCATTTCAGGCGTTAAATTGCATGCAAGAACTGTTCTTGGGTAAGGAGGTGTTCTTATTAGAGAGGTGTCCTTTATTTCATGGGTTAAATTGCATGCAAGAACTGTTCTTGGGTAAGGAGGTGTTCTGATGATGATGATTAGAGAGGTGTCCTCATTTCAGGGGTTAAATTGCATGCAAGAACTGTTCTTGTGTGAGGAGGTGTTCTTATTAGAGAGGTGTCCTCATTTCAGGGGTTAAATTGCACGCAAGAACTGTTCTTGGGCAAGGAGGTGTTCTGATGATGATGATTAGAGAGGTGTCCTCATTTCAGGGGTTAAATTGCATGCAAGAACTGTTCTTGTGTGAGGAGGTGTTCTTATTAGAGAGGTGTCCTCATTTCAGGGGTTAAATTGCACGCAAGAACTGTTCTTGGGCAAGGAGATGTTCTGAGATGATGATTAGAGAGGTGTCCTCATTTCAGAGGTTAAATTGCATGCAAGAACTGTTCTTGTGTGAGGAGGTGTTCTTATTAGAGAGGTGTCCTCATTTCAGGGGTTAAATTGCATGCAAGAACTGTTCTTGGGCAAGGAGATGTTCTGAGATGATGATTAGAGAGGTGTCCTCATTTCAGAGGTGACTCTACCGCCCTTTGTAACGTTTGCTAACACTTATTTAAAAGTATTTGGGACTGGCCAGCAATCACATCATATTGCACTGAGCATCTCTACTGGGAATATAGCACTGCAGTGTACCAAGCAGTTGCGTAAGTTGTTATCCTCCTTTCCCAAGTGACCACATCATTTATAACCCTCTTACTGCAGAGTTACGCAACCAGTCTTATCTTTGTAGTTAAACACAGGGTTGCACAACCCATTTTAACAGCCATGTTGCTCCAGGATTACGCAATCTTTCACTGCTGATGCTGGATAAATTGTAATATATAGGTGTTATGCAAGTTTTCCATGGCGACCTTTAGAAAGATTTTACCTTGTCCCTCTAGGGTTAATAAACATTTTAACCAAGTTGCTGCAGGGTTAAAAATGTTTTACAGGGTTAATGAAGTTTGCTGCAGCAGAGTGGATAACTTTTACTTCTGGCGTAATAAAAACGTTTAAACTTGTTGCTTCCGGGTTAATAACTTTTTACTACTGGCGTAATAAACGTTTAACCCTGTTGCTACAGGGTTATGTGGTGTGTCCGTCGGAGCAACGATTTCTTCTTCTCTTCACGTTCTTGAAGAAGAACAGAGACAAGAAGATGATGGTGTTTCTATCTTCCTGCAACTCCGTCAAGTTCCACGCCGAGCTGCTCAACTACATCGATATACCTGTCATGGATATACATGTGAGGAGAGGGAGAGGAGAGAGAGGGGGAGAGGAGGGTACTAAAGGAAAATTTTATACCCACATTGCCAGTGCACATGCGCACAACAGCCATTATAAGTGCTTTTTCCGTGTGACACCCGGTAGATGTTAGGCTATGATGTGGATATTCCTTTCCAGGCACCACATCCACAGGCTCTTTGCCAAGTCTTATCTTATCCGTGTCTCTCACTGTGTAATGTGCAGGGACGTCAGAAGCAGCAGAAGAGAACGTCGACGTTCCTAGAGTTCTGTCAGGCGTCGTCGGGCACCCTCATCTGTACGGACGTGGCGGCCAGAGGACTGGACATACCGGAAGTGGACTGGATTGTCCAGTACGACCCTCCGGACGATCCCAAGGTCAGCCGCTCTCTATATGCAAGCAAAGCGAGTCCACCACCTAGTCGTCTGAATCCGGGATTAAGTGTGGATATAAGCAAAAGCTCTTTTCAGCCCATGTGGTTCCCAGGGATATATACCCGAAATTATCATTATTCAGTGACAAAAAATTTCAGCACATAATGAAGAATTTTCATCTCTCCCTACCTTTTCAGGAGTACATCCACAGGGTGGGTCGCACCGCCCGGGCGGGGGGCCGAGGTCACGCCCTCCTCATGCTCCTCCCCGAGGAACTCACATTCCTGAAATACCTCAAACAGGCAAAGGTCAGGGGTCAATGTAATTGGAACATGTTTAATCGAAATGTTCGTAATCTCGCTCCACATTTCTTCTTTTCCGCCATCTCATTCCAACCTTTGGTCTTTCCCCCTATCTCGCTCCAAACTCTCGTCTTTTCCATTATCTTGTTCCAAACGTTCATCTTTTTCCCCATATTTCTCTCAAAACGTTCTTATTTTTGTCTCCTCTCTCTCCAAAGTTTCCCTTATCTCTCTGAACTTTCTTATCTCACTCCACACCCTCTAAACATGTTTGTTATTTTACAACATGTGAGCACATTTGCCCTACAAAATGTTTGTTGTATATAGCTATTTTTCCACTCACCTTTCTGAATCAAACACAGCTAACAAGTTGGTGGCATTCCCATCCCTGCTAATTAGGCAATGATTAAACCTGTGATTGATGAAGAGTAGATGGTTGTTACACTAAATTGCCATAACCGACCAATACATTCACATCTATATATACACACACATATACACTGATTCACTGGTAATCAAATATAATGTTACTCACTCCACATTGGTCTACTTTATTGGCTAGCAAAACCTACCTAGTCGTCTATATTGCGCAATGTTTCTGGTCTCATTCCCATTCCAGGTACCACTGAATGAGTACGAGTTCCCCGACCAAGAAACTGAGCAACGTACAGTCTCAGGTACATACACTTAGAGTTCATTTGAATATCCAGTCTTTAAATGCACAGTGCAATGCATGGTTTTTGCACCCACACATGCCAGTTGACAATGCTCCGTTCGCGAAGCTTTTTCTAGGGAAAAGCTGGAATCACTAAATTTTGTGGTAAGAGTGTAAAATTTTGTTTGATGTAGCTGGAGAAATTGATTGAGAAGAACTACTACTTACATCGGTCTGCCAGAGACGCCTATCGCTCCTACCTTCAGGTTTGGGGAGCACGTCGGTTTTATGTACCCATTGTAATCTCTCTCTCTCTCTCCCTTTTGCCGCTCTCTCTTCTTCTCCTCCTCTCTCTCTTTTCTCTCTCTCTGTCGCTGTAACTTTCTCTCCCTCTCTCCCCCTCCCCCCACAGGCCTATGCGTCCCATTCTCTAAAGGCAGTATTCAACGTAGAGAGATTGGATCTGCAGAGAGTTGGGAAGGCTTTCGGATATGCCATTCCTCCTACTGTCTCGTTAGGTATATATGCCTTGCCTTATGTGTGCGTGTGTCTGAGCCTGCGTGCATGTCTGTAGATGTGCCGTTCCATCAATTCCTTCATAACCTTGTGTGTTTGTGTGCATGTGTGTGAGCCACATGTCTGTTCAACTGTACATGACAGTTTCATTAGGTTTTCTCCTATCTCAATTCCTCCTCCCTCTCTCCCCTCTCTCCCTCTCTCCCCTCCCTCCCAGCCATCCATAGCAGCAGTAAGGGAAGATCTCGCAGAACCAACGCCAGTTCCTATGGTTACCAGGGCAAGAACGCAGAGAAGAGGAAAAAGTTTCAAAAATACAAAAATGTTGACAAACGTCAATTCTCCAGACACTAAAGTCTTTATTAGACAGTTACGATCATAAATTTGCTGTTTTTATAACGATGCAACAAGTAAACCATGATTGTATTACGAAGACATAAAACGCATGTCTAATTGTTTGTCTCCTCAAAATCCGCGTGACATCCATTTATCGTCGGACGTGGAGTAGGGCAGAATTAGAATCCCACTTTATACCAGACCCCGCCTACATTGTATAATGTTCCATGTTGACTGTGTACTGTGCCAAATTGCTAAAGAGAGAGGCTTTTAATAGTCCTAGACTATAGACCAGAAGACATCTTAGAGTGGCCTTCAACAGTGGAGCCCCTCTCTAATATGGACACTTTCTTCGGTTCCCGTTGGTGTCTGATGGACACTACAATGTTCCTTGAGAAAAATTAAAGTTCATTCTTAACTCAATTATATAACGAGCTATTCAGTAGGTGTGTGTGGTTCCGTGCTATGTGTACATAATTCATCTGTTGTGTGGTATCAGCTAAGATTACCTCATGACTTCCTGCATGCTATCGTAATACTAACAAGATGGTTCCTAGAAACCAGGTCACTATATCGTACCATATCTTGTTAGTCTATTCTGCTGTAACTGCCAAATATGTACGAAGTGATGGGATAGGTATATATTATAGATGAATGAGACTGTGATAGCTTATACACACACTGCCTGGCCGTGGCAAATGCTGTCCCATACTTTACCATCATACTATACTGTGACTTCTACCCCATACTTTACTGTATGGTCTATCATTTTTCAACCCTATATGCACTTTACCATTTCTGCTCGACGCAGTCACTTCAAGCTAGTTGCACGAATCATGTGTATATCAACTACACCCAGGGCAACACTTGTTTTGAAGAAAAAAGAGCTGACCTAGGTTGGAACCCACGACACTCTGTTCTATAGAACTCTAGAACAGTGCTCCGCCGGGGCAGCTCAGCTCAGCAGGTCAAAGTCTGCAGTACAACACACAACACAAGGCAAAGGGGTGCCTGAATGCCTTGCTACATGCTCCCAAAACGTGTATTGCACAACCAACAACCCCGTGTGTGTATAATATTATTATGTACACAGTACACAACATTCATGTAGCACTATGTATTAAGTGTGGAGGATCCCCTACTCTAGCATACATATCTTGTCCTCACACAACTAAGTATGGTCATGAATGACTTGAAAACCATGAATCAGCAACTTTTCCCTTGCAATGTCTATGTACACAACGTGACCGACATTTTTAGTATAAACACAAGTACTTCATCTGTAGTCTCTCCCTACTTTCCTTAGCCCCTGTCATAAATTTAAAAAACCCGAAAAACAGCATTCAACCCAAGAATGTGTGGTCAGAAACCTCATAAGTGGTTGCTCTCCTGACGTACTGTACAGTAGTGTAAGAACATTGTTGAGAATGGTTGTCCTAATAGCAACGCCCATTGGACAACTACACCAAGTGTATATATTGTGCACATTTCTGGTGCTTCACGTCACTACTTATGTTTGTTCGTATGCTTGTTCGACAAAAGTATGAATCGGCAACTTTCCGTTTGACCGTTGTTTGTAACAAACACTCTGCCCCCAACCTTGTAGCCCCTGATTTGGTGGGTTTTTTTCTTCCATCTGTATCTGCGTCCTCAACATACGTGCATGAATTCATTAGTGACCTACACATCTGTTCTCTTCCATGTGGTGTTCATTTTCAATATTCAGTGGCGGATCTCAAGGGGGGATTCCGCTGTCCAGAACGTTTTCGACTGCACTCGTGCGTGCGCACGAGGCCGGCGGCGCATGCGCGCAAAACGACAAAAAGGGGGTTTCCGCGGAACCCAAGGAACCCCCCTGGATCCACCACTGATATATTTGCCATGGCACATGTGTCACTATTACTCAGTGTCCTTAAAATCCTGTCATGAACACAGGGCTGGAAAACAGTGACTTGATCCCGTAACTCTGCAGTTCTCAAATTCCCAATGTCAGGTGATATAGGGTTCAGAAGGTTAATTAATTTACCGTAATTATTGTGATCAGTTTGAACTTTACTACTACAATCAAATACCATCTTGCGGCAGCAGGAAAATGAATATTAGATGTGATGTAATTCTGAATTATTCATAGCTTTAGTCACAATCACCCTTCCTTCCTTATTTGGCGCAGCACAGCGTCAAGGCCCAGTAATTATGACAGCTCATGCTGAGCGAACATTAGAACAACGTTGCAGCACATTGCGTTGAGCGTGCCACTTCAGCAAATGGGAACACGGCGTCGTTTCATTTGTTTGCAGAGCTCGATGCCTTTCTCAAAATGATCTCAGGCCATGGTTCATGTTTCACACACGCTCACACTGTACATTAACAGTGCATGTACAGTAGTTGTAAGATGTGAGAGTGAGAGTTTACTGTGCCATAGCACAGTGGTTGGAGGTTTGCCTTGTGTTGTGTTGTGTTGTAGATTCGAACCCCTACCAGCTGAGTTGCCCTGGTAGCTCAGTTGGTAGAGCGCTCGCCTAGACTGCAGAGTGTCGTGGGTTCGAATCCCACCTAGGGCAGCTCTTTATTATTCCTTGGAAAAGAAGAGCTGTCCTAGGTGTAGTTGATTTGTTTGTTGTGCCTTTGCCTTTCTACCTCATAGTTTTCACATGCAGGTGGTGGGTCGGCTATTGTCTAGAGCACGCAAGAAGCTGTCCTGGCTGAGCGCTGTCCTGATATCAAGGCATTAGAATGTCTAACAATGACAAATGAAACATCTATAATGAGTACTTCTATTGTGCGTATTAGTGGTCCAGCTCTGAATTGAAGGGGTCAGAGCCAGAGTGAGCCAACCCTCAATATTCATTATTTGAAGGAAAACCGGCAAGAGTTGTATATTGGAGGGTTGGCTCACTCTGTCTCTGACCCCTTCAATTTTCAACCTATTTATATAATACAGATGTGTTCTACTTTATAAAGACACTATCCTGTCATTACTGTAGGTGTCTAATTTTAGTGTCCTGGGTAGCTACAACTATATTACTGGTATTCTAGAGACTAAAGGTAATATAAATGCGTCTGATTTTTGGGAAAACGCTGGCGGTAGTTTTAAGCTGTCACCCGACACTTGTCAAGTTTAAAATGCTCAGAAATGTCAACATTTGCTTGATTAGCTTTCGACGGCCATTTATATTATTCAGGTACACATATATATAATGTACAGTGCAGTGTATATACAAACACTCTAATGGAATTTGAAAGACTTCTCCTCTACAGCGGTGTGTGTTCATTAAACATGCAAACTCATGCTCATTGTATTATAACATCTTGGGTGTCCGGATATAGTACAGTATTTTTAGCATGGGGCAAAAACCCTCTATTTATTTATGCGAGACTACGGTTTGCCCCTACTAATGGGGCAAAAACCCTCTATTCATGCGAGACTACGGTTTGCCCCTACTAATTGTGGTATAATACTTAGGGATGTAGTTATTGGTTTGCCCCTACTAATAATCCCTATAACTGATGAAATATCGAAAATAATTCCCTCTGGATTTCACCTGATTTGTTTACACAAACATTCACCCCAAGTCCCAATAAAGCGTTGTGTATAATCATAATAGTGCCGTGCGCTGCGAAGTTCATCAATCGTATATACATAAGGATTAAAATTTTTACAAAGTTTTTTGGGATATTTTTTGAATGACAGGGAAGAAAAATAGTAATTGAGACAATTTTCGGTGCAAGAAAAAGTTTTGAAGGCAGATTGATTAAAATGACAGTGACCGTCCACAAATAAATTGCACTTTAGTCAAAGATTAGTTAAAACAGAGAGTGTTGCTAACACATCTCACAATTTATATATACAGGGCAAAATGAAAAATGGAAAAAAACATTACACACGGCACTAGATAATACAATTGTCCTTGGGACCAACAAATTGCACACAATTCGGGGGTAACACGGTATTTTTGAATAGAAAGTGATTTGACAGTTTTTTTGAAGCCAAGTGAGTTTTTTGACATGTGGATGAGCGTGTGTATTTCGTGACTGGCGCGAGAGAGAGAGAGATAGACGTCGCAAACACACACACACGCATACCAACACACGGGTGCACATTGACAAAATCACAGCAAAGTTGACATGAAATGTTGAGGGGAATTGAAGACAACTGGGAATTGGGGAAGAGGGTGTGTGGTGGGGGTGGAGGGTAAGACAGACAATTTTTAAAGAGTATTGCAGTTTTTTCGCATGTGGCGAGCACACGCGCACAGACAGACAATGTACACAGAGAGGGACGTAAACACCTGCACTTCACACTGCGGCAACTTTGGGGAGAGGGGGGAAGGGAGACGGGGGATGAAATGTTAGGATGGATGGCACTCGTGCGCGGTGGAGGTCACCGAACCTGTGCTGTAGGGGCCCGTTTGACCGTAGACCACGGGGCTCTGTGGTAGGAAGAGTGATTGTGATGATGATGAGGATGGTGCTGGTGTGAAGAAGACTCAAACGGAGGAGTGAAGTGTCGACGGTTTCGCGGGTAATTCGAGCGTCCGTTCCCATGGTGATGGTACGACGACGTCTGTACGCGCAGCGGGACGCAGGGAGGCGGATGGATCGGATACGACGAAAACATCGCCATGGGGGGAGGGAACGGTTGTCCCACTTCGAAGCTGATGTGGACAATGACAGACATGGTTTTCTGACGTTCACTCTCCATGAGGCAGCGAGCCTGGCTGCTCACGACCATGAACAGAATCTGGAGGAATTCCTGGCACTTTCCGAGCTCTCGGACGCTCAAGAACCGCGTGGTGACGCAGCGACGTATCTTGTAGTACTGCTGGAAATCAGCCGGGAAATCGATGAAGAAGCGACTGCACATGTACGGCTCCAGTTTTTCCATTTGACTGCTCTCGGCCGGTTTGAACCCGTTCACCAGCAGAGTGCAGTATTTCAGGAGCCCGCCTCCGCGGATTTCCTCCGGGTTCTGGGTGTGGATTAGCCGCTCATTGAGGTGTTTCATGGCTTCTTCGTAGTCCGGGTAGACAGAGATGGCATGCACGGTGGGGAAAAACTCGGCCGATATTGCCACGGGGCTGTCCTCAGTGCACCTCCCGTACGTGAAATACTCGTCCAGGCAGATCTGAAACGAGTCGACGGTGAACTCAAACTGTCGCTGGATCTTGTTCACGAACTTCAGCTCGATGCTTCGCATGCCCGTCTCGTCGCCGAGGGAAAACAGGGACCACTCGATCTTGGGGGTCATGACGAGCACCATCTTTCTCGCGTACGTCTCCTCCAACAGGTGCCCACTGATGCGAGCCTTGGACGACTCCTCGGGAAAGAAATCCAGCAGAGAAGTGAGCACTTCTTCCTTGATGATGTGAAAATCTCTCTCGCGACACCACTCGTCGATGGACACGCCGAATATCAAATCCACGTCGTTGAACTTCAACTCGGGGAGGCTGCTGTCCGTATGTCTCTCGCAGAGACAGTAGCTCGCGGCACTGCCGTTCATGCGGATGTCTCGAATCGTGATCCCCTTTCGGATGAGTCGCTGTCTGACGACCTTCACGATCGCGGCGGGGGAAATTTGCAACACGGGGAAGTTGCTCCCGGGGTCCTTCGGGGTCAGCGTCACGGACTCCGTTAGCACGCTACACAGTCGCTGTACCTGATCGAACGACAGAGGGTGCCCGTGCTCAGGAACACTGCCAGTCCCTGGGGTAGTACCAGTAGCAGCAACGTCCACATGCGTTTCACTCGTGCTACTTGGTGGTAGTGGCGCTGGAGGCAAATTCATGACTGGCACTCTCCAAGCACGTGGTCAGCTTCACAGCCACGGAACTACGAATTGAACTCTACTTCGCCCTATTGACTAACGAAAATGTCTCCTAATAACGTTGCGGGTCGGCGGCCGGCGCGGCTAGCTGACTCGTCGGAACAGCGCCTGTGGGGCAGGGTAGAGGGTCGGCGGTTATATGCGGTAGAGAGCTACACTTTGCACACTTCGGATGTGCAAGAATGCGGCGTTATGTCTCCGAACAGCGTCTCTTCAGGCGCTACAAGGATCGAGGCGACAACAACAGCGGACGACAATCGAACGCAGCGGTACACACACACAGTACAGTAGAACAAATGGACGTCGGTTTTTCGGAAGAGGCTAGCGGCGAGGGGAGAAAGAACGACACAGCACGCGGGTGACTGTTTGGGAAATCTGCAGGAGATGTAGCTATTTTAATGAAACTTGGAATACTCGTGGGCTTTTTGTCGTCGCGTCAGAGAGTTGACTTTTTCCTGAGTTTTGCCGGTATCTGGGGAGGGGGCTTTTCACTTTTTTTGCTGAGTAGCTAGGTGACGGCAGCTTGTTGTTTGGCTGTTTGTCGACTTTTGAAACTAACACACAGGAAGTACGTAGGCAGCTAGGCAGGAACACAAACACACACACTCAAACACACCGGCTGGAGAATTGAGCAATAGCACTGTTGCGTCGTTTGGGAGAGGTTCGAGTTGGGCGCTGCTGGGCGACGAGGAAGGGATGGGGAAATGGAGAGACAAACGGTGGTATTAGTGGCAGTAGGGAGTCGGGAACCGCTTCTGGAGATCCTTTGGGAGCAGCGAGCTGCAGAGCGTGAGCTGTTTGCCGACTCACTCTCCCTCGTTAACTCGACCAACAGACGAGAAAACCCAAGCGAGAAAGCTGCAGCGCACCGCGTGTTGTGCAAGCGTCTCGTGTCTTGCGGGGGCGCAACCGGAAACAGAGTCGCGTTGCCTTGGATACGGCGACGAACGCGCTGCGTCGTCATTGGTGGTCGATATAATTCGAGCCACGCCCCCTATTCGTGACCTCTGACCTTTACCATGTGCTCGAGGGAGCGAGACTACAGCTTCTTTGCGGAGTTTTTGCCGCGTGTTGGAACCTATCAGATCGCCTTCGCGGCTCGAGACAGCTGCAAACTAACCGTCTCCGCAAGAGCTGCCGTCTGCGCCGAGCTGCGTAACGCGGGGAGCCTGGAAATTATCCGCTGGCCCCCGCATCTTCCAGACCTCGACCCGGGGTCTTACCTAGATCGTCGAAAACCGTCCCCCGAGGAAAGACAGCCGCTTCAGTTGAGATTCCGCTGTGTTGGACTAACGCAGCCTGTGTGGGCGAAATTTGATAAACTTTTGGACCCCCCAGATTTGACCTCGCCCCCCTCCACCTCGATTGTGGTGAAATGTGGATTTTGTGGATACGTTCTCACGAAACAGAACTAGTGAGTAAATCACTGCATAGCCATGAAAGTTTGGAGGCACAAAACCCACAAATAATTATTTTTTGACCTTTTTGTGGTGGGAAAGTAACTCGTGAATTTTTCTATTGTGCAGTTCTTGATGGCATTGTTCCCCTTGTTGCCTTGGGCCGATGGCGCTGATAAATAATGAATGACCGGCACATGATCAGAAGCGTAAATATTTATACTCCTCGTAAATGTTTGGGATTTCTCGCGACGTTACATTTGCCGTATAAGCCACGGCGGCTTACGTAACATGGAATGACAGTAGCACACACACACACACACACACACACACACTCTTGGCTTGCAGTGACATCTAGTTTGTACTTATAGTGTGCAGGAATTATGCAGTTATGGTGTCTGTAAGTAATGTTTACTGTGCCTAAAGGGACATTGGCTTCCCTGTGATATTCTGTAGAAAGGCTGTGTGTGTACGTGAGTACACAGCACAGGTCATAGAATGCGGAACATTTTGTTATTTCCGTTCTACTGTGACAGTCCCAGTGTATAGTCTAGGACGGTGCCTGGGGAACTATAGGGTGTCATAGTGGTATGTTTGGTGGTCTCGATTGAAAGACAGAAACCGTTCGCTTGGCCCGTTGGGTTGGAGCGTGGTCAATAGCTGCACTGCTATGGCTGCCTCTATATGTATTACTAGAAGGAATGCAGTGCATTATTGGCGAGCGAACACATGTGAAATTTCCAGCATGTGTATTTTGAGTTGCGTAAAACGTTAGGGTATAGTGCCGTTGTGGGACAGTTTACAAACAGTGCAGTCACTTTGCTCGCCAACTCTTGTCTCTGTGCATATTCCGCTGGTTATCTTGTGTTTTTTAACTCTGACAGGTTATGATGTGGGTTCAGATTAGCTCGTTTCACCTGCTTAGTGTTCTAATGGGGCGCTTTCTGTGAGTATTGAGCACCGTGTTTTGCCCCATAATTAGCAGTGCTAATTGGAATAGTGCAATTGTTGGCAAACTCTTGCCTGCGGCAGATTATCTACATACAGCTGTTTCTGGTGAAAGTCTACCAAGTGATTCAACTGTATCGGGGTGTGCCACAGCTGTCCACGACCAGGTTTATTTCTGGGTAGGAACAGTGTGGCAACAGTGGAAGATTTGCATTAATGTTCCCTCTGAGATATTCTAGTCTGCAACCAAAACGCGAGTTACAGTATTTCTGCTGCACCCTACAAACAATATAAGATGGGTTAGTTGGCCTTTCCTCGTGTACTCAAAATGTAAGTATACAAAGGTCGAAAGAATATAATATAGCCGCACACTATATGTTGCATACACACATCTGTCTAAGAATTAGAGTGAGTAGTATGAACCAGGGGTGGCATCAGTATACAGACAGACAGACACTCACACCCTAGAGAATCTCTTATACTGAGCTTCATGCAGAGTGTTTCAGTACATACAGTATATATGTATATACACGCAGCTAACTAGTGATTCAGCCTCGTACGTCAGCCGCCCTAACTTTCCCGCATGTCAACAGCTCCAACTTACTTATGCTTGCTTATGGTGCATGGTGTGATTCTTCCTCCTACATTAGTTCTGTCTTCATGTACTGATAATATTGTAGTGTGTATGTGGGTGTGTATAGTACAGTATATTAAGTACAGTCTGAATAAGGGACACCTTGAGGACATCGAAAGTGTCCTTTATTCGGAGGTAGTATATATAATACACTACCAATATATATGTATGAGGCAGAACCAAGTGTCCTCTATAGAGAGGTGTCCTTTATTTAGAAGGTCCTTTTACGGTTTCGCAGTGCGTACGTGTACCTCCTGCATTGCACGATAGTGATAGAATCCGTGTTGCTAAGCTTCCTACCTGATTGTGTCTCAATAGCTGCTGCATGCTAGTGATTCCGCCATTGTGCATCAGATCCCCTGCACGGGACATCCAGTATCACGCATGACGCATGATTACATACCCGTAGCTGCTTACTTCAACTTCCTTCTTCCCACTGTATATACGAGCTTTCTCTCCATGTTAGGAATTAACGGTGCTTGGAGTAGCCGTTTGGTGCACGATATACCAAGAACTTACCCACTCTTTCAAACAAAACTAGATGCGTTCTTCCGTGGGGGAAATCTAAACGCCTGCTTGCTTTACTCACTGACAATGTTATTCCAAGTTGCCTTAGCTTTCTGCTCTGTGCTAGCCAGCTGTTTGGTGTGGACATACTGCACTCTTTTCCAAGAACCTATCCACATTATGCACCCGAAATCTTGATGCAGTCTCCTGTGATACAATCAGAGCGTGTGCTTGCTTAACACTTTGGGGGGTCGTGCGTGTAAGGCAAATTCTATTTCTAGCTGTGTTTTGATTGTCCTCCATGTTTGTTGCTGTATATTTTGAGTGTGAGACATACTGCACATTTCCAGGAACTTGCCCACTCTCACTGTCATCCATGCATTAGCTCCTGTGAGAAAGTTGGAACATGTGCATACTCAACTGACTTTGTCATTGGCTCATCATTATGTACAGACACGTGGCTAATGAGACTGAAGGTACTTCTAGTGCTAAAGGTCGCTGTATTTGTTTTAATGGTCTCATTTTTAATTGCTTTACATCATAATTATCACCATAATTATGGTAAGGTGTAACTAGAAACTCATCCAAAGGGGTGTGGCCATGTTAGGGATTACAACACTGTTCTTCCTCTCTCATTGGACTGGACTGCTATATGTTAGCTTTCTGCACAGCGTTACACATTTCGGGCTGCAAGACGAGGGAGGGACTTATCCTAACATAATGATAATATGTGACTATTGTGGCTGTTCTATAAGTATAATTATGCCAGGACGAAGTTACACTTTCAGTTCAGTTCAGGCTTTGCAGGTGCGTGCATTTGTCAGAATACCTCTACTGCTTTCACGTGTTATTGTCTGGGTACAGTCTGTAGTACATGTATACAATACATTAGGAAATGGAAGCACTATATGTATGTACCTGTTCATTCAGTGCTGATGTGTGTGTGTGTGAATTGAGGAAGTCAGAGCAGGTGGTGCCAGAGTTCTGCATCAGGCACGTGTGTCTGTTAGGTATGTTGGTTGATTTCCACACCTCATGGTTTACTATAATTATAGGTTGATTTCCACAACACATGCATTATCTCATGGTTTACTATAATTATTATTCCTTTTCTGCCAGAAGAATGTATTAGTATTAATTGAGAAGAGAGCATAATGTTGGCACAACTGCGTTTTGTATAATGGATCCATTTTGGCTGTGGAACACAGACCCGACAAATACCAGTAGCACAAAGGACGCTGTCTACAATGGACACTTGGTTCTGCCCCACACTACACGTTACGCTGTACCTGAAAAGAGGGGCACCTCTGAAATATTGACTCCCCAAGGTGTCCCCTATGCCATGGGTTTCACTGTAACACACACACACGTTGAGATTATAGTGTAGTACGTTCATGGTAGGTGTAGGCAGAGTTAGTGGTGAATATTGCAGACGAGCTGTGTTACAATTGCGTAAGGAGCGAGCTTTATTTGGAGTTAGAGGTATGTGGACTCTGATGCAGTGTAATGAAGCCATTGCCCCTCTCCATGAGTAGGTCCATTTGCATTGTCCTGTGCATAATGATACATTACCATAGATTTTGGCAGCGGTTGAATTTGGCGATTTTGCCCAAAACTGCTGATGGGTGTGTGCAGTTTGCATTTGGCACTGGTCACACTGCATGCATGTACGTGACTGACTGGCAATCACCATTTCCGATGTGGAACCTGAATAATAGTGTCCACATCAGTGATGGTGTCAGGTGTGTTGCAGGGGTTAAATTGCATGCAAGAAGTGTTCTTGGGGGAGGAGGGGGTTCCTTATTTGTACGTAGGTGTCCTCATTTCAAGGCTGTCCTTAGAGAGAGGTTCCAGCAGTAAGTGACCAATGAGGTCGTTCGAAAGAGATAGTATCTTGGAGATAGAAAAAAAAGCAGGTGTAGGTAGTTCTTGGGTTCAACTCCCATAAGACTTAGCATTCACACAATCTTTACTGTGGGAGCACATGTCTTGCAATGTTACCTATTATCCCAGCGTGAGCAGGTCTATTGTTGGTATGCATATCCAGTTTCACTGGCGGTGCATATGGCTTTAGTTGCAACACGCGATGTCTGCTGACCGCAATACCACACGACCCACCCACACGGAAACAGTTGCATGTACCTCCAAAATCATGTCTTTTTCCACTCTTGTGCCTAAATAAAATGCAATATCGTTGACACCCTTATTTAGGGGGGACAGCAACATTTGGGAAAGATAGGGATAGGTGCAGCGAGATAGAAGATGTTACCATTCCATTCTCCAACTGTAGTCAAAGTATAAAGAATAGTTGGTTTGTCTCTTTTTCCACTCTTGTGCCTACATAAAATGCAATATCGTTGACACCCTTGTTTAGAGGGGACAGCGAAATTTGGGTGAGATAGGGATAGGTGCAGCGAGATAGAAGATCAACTCTGAATAAGGACACATTCAGGACCTCAAAAGGGTCCTTTAATTAGAGATATCGCCTTGTCAAATCGGCTTTCCAACCTTTTATATGCAAAGTACAACCACGTTTGTAGTGCTTTGAAATTGCCCGCAAGAATATGTTTTGTGTAGGCAGATTTTGCCAACATTTGTATATAGCTCGTTAGGCAGATGACACGTTATGTTACGAGGCAGTACATGTGTCTCCATCCATTTTATATACATACTTCCTCGTAACTAGCTAATGTAGTGGCCTTGCTTGCTATTGGTTCGCTGGTCTCAAGAGAATGACTGACTGACTCCGTGGTGATCGTGTGTGTGGGGGGTGTTATGTCTGTCTGTCAGACGTAATTCTAGTGTGATCTGCCAGCTACATACACGTGTAGGTTTCTTCATAACCCAGGGCTGGCACCAGAGTTCACCAGGGGGGGACATAGTCCCTCTATCTCTTCATTTGTCCCCTGAATATGCTTCCCAGGGGGCACTTTGACCCCCAAATAGTGGGTGTCCTGTTATTGGGACCATCTAAATTTGTTGCTAGCACCCGAAATAACTCCAATTTTGCAGCGTTTTGCATGCACGATGATACCCTCAAATATTGAGCAGCAAATTCATGCCTTGTATGTTAAAGCCAGTAATGTCCTTGCGAATCTTCAGTCCCACACCTCTTCTCTTCTCTTCCTCTTCCTCCTCCTCCAGTTGTTTCAAGCGAGTGTTGCCTCTCCCGTCAGACGAATGGTCTGAGTTGGCTGGAGACGCTTTCTGCCATCTTCACCCCCACCCACCCTCCTCCTCCTCCTCCTCCCTCTCTCCCTCTCCCCACCCTCTCGCCGCCAGGCCAGGAGACTGTCTGACTGGCTGTAGAGTCGTCAGAGTCACTAGAGAATGTATGGGATCCAATGCACTGGACACCAGGGAGGTACATACATACATGTACATGTACAGTGGAACCTGAATTACCTGACCTTGGGGCAGGGAGAGTTTCCTTACACATTATGTGTATACCTCTGTAATGGAGACACCAATGGGACAGAATGAAGTTACATATTAGTGAGGTGTCCTTCTTTCAAGGGTTAGATTGCATGCAAGAACTGTTCTTTGGGAAGGACAGGGTGTCCTTATTAGAGAGGTGTCCTCATTTCAGAGGTGTCCTTAGATAAGGGGGTTCCACTCAATGAGGTTAACCTCTTTACGTGGTTTCTGGTATTCCGTGTGTGAGGGGGTTAAACTTGTTCCGTGTTCTGTCTATGCACAGAGAGGGGGATCCACTAGTATTCCGTGTGTGAGGGGTTAAACGTGTTCCGTGTTCTGTCTATGCACAGAGAGGGATCCACTAGTATTCCGTGTGTGAGGGGATAAAAGTGTTCCGTGTTCTGTCTATGCACAGAGAGGGATCCTCTAGTATTCCGTGTGTAAGGGGTTAAACGTGTTCCGTGTTCTGTCTATGCACAGAGAGGGGGGATCTACTGTGGCAGATGCTACCTACATCTTGGAGTGTTTTTGCCAACTAGTGCAAGTGAGCTCACGCCACACACACACACTTCCAAGAACTAATACTGCTGTGCACCTGTTTGCACTCACTCGCTGCATTGTAGCAACGTAGCTGAGATCTTCAATTATATTAGTTGTTCCGTACTTGCAACAGGTGTATTAACATGCAATCGCGATTACACATAATGTGTTATTATGCAATAGATACAGATCATAACATCTTTATAAATCTCTGCCCACGCTGGCACTTGCTTATGCAATCCTCATTCTATTACGCTTCTGTGCTTGCAAGAATAAGATTTGCACAGCCTTCCTGGAACTACATATTAAAATGTAGTGTGGCCCTGACTGAGGTAGGAAATACTTACGAGATGAGTTTTTGGAACCTTTACTACAGTTAGGAAGCTCTCTGGATTGCAGCATAATTGGCTGTGTAATTGTTCAGTTGTGATAGCTGATGGATATGGTATAGGTTTGATGATGGCAAGTGTGCTCTATGAGGTGGTATGGTATATATATAGGTTTGATGATGGAAAGTGTGCTCTATGAGGTGGTATGGTATATATATATATATACCCTCTCATTGTATATTATATTGCTGTGGGCACTGTAGTAGGCCCAACACAAGTTCTTCAAGCATTTTCGTATGCATGTGCCAACAACAAGGTGGGCAAAGGGCAAAGCAACTACACCCAAGACCGCTAGGAAAAAAAGAGCTGCCCTGGGTGGGATTCAAACCCACGACACTCTGCAGTCTAGGCGAATGCTCTACCAACTGAGCTACCAGGGAAACTTGTACAACACACATTGCAGGTAGCCATGGAGATAAAGAACTGAGGGGGGCGGAGGGAACAAAGGGGTATTCGAAAGAGGCGGAGTCAACTGATATCGCCGATCAAACATTGGAGCTCTGGCGATCCGAAATATCATTAGAATTCTTCTCTTCCTCCCCTGCCTCTCTCTCCTCTCCTCTCTCTCCTCTGCCCCTCCCTCTTCCTCTCCTCCCTCCCTCTCTCTACCCTCATTCTGGGCCCGTGTGGAAAAAGACAGAGAACATCATTTGGCCCGTACTCTCTGCACTGCCTGTAGCGACAAATCTTCATTCAAGTTCAGCATTCAAGATTCACACCGTCACGATTTCCTCTGTGTAAGTGGCTATTACTATAATAGCGGAAAATTTTGGAAAGAGAAAAAAAACTAGTGAAAGCCATATTTTACCCATCCACAATTTTTACGAGCGTGTAAAATTATACAGGGCAGTACAATATTTTTATTGCAACTGAAGGATGGCTTTGCTGAAAGCCTCATGTGATGTATGACCTCTCGCCAGGTGTGGGTGCTCAACGTCGCGAGTCATGTGATCTCCAACACTCGTCACATGACCTCCGAATTCCTCTCCTCAAAGTTCACAGGTTAGCGGGTAGAACCCCTCTCTAAGGACACCCTTGAAATGAGGATTCATTCTGATGATTGTCTGTGTTGCAATAATTGTGTCTATTTTTCCACTTTTGAAGGTATTTCTTCCTCCCACTGTTCTGAGAACTTCCCAGCCCTCAAGCTGCTCTACGTGGTTGCCACGGAGACTGGCTCCGCCCCTGGTCACGTGACCAAGGGGTGGAGCCCCTCCCACTCTCGAGGGGGGAGTGTCTGTGGCTACGTCTGCTGCTGTGTCGGAGTAATGTTAGTCTACCACCTGGACAGAGGTGTGGACAGAGCTTTTGGAAGGTGAGCTGTGGGTATGCTGTGCAAACGTCTATTTTGAGCCAATGTCTTAATCTTCATCCCCCCAGGTTGGCTATCTCCGCCTCGAATGACTCTGTAAATAGATATTTCCCTTCACTAGCTCCTGCTGTTACTGATTTTTAAAACTCGGTTGTTTACACAATTTATAGAGATAAAGATATCGCTTCTGTAAACAATTTATTATAACAATTTTTCTGAAGTGTATATACAGATACAGACATACATACACACACATCTGCCGGTCATATATACATATATACACTGGTGCAGAATAGACCTGTATAATAATTATAGTGCTTCATTGGATCAGACATACATACACACACACGATGCTGCGGAGTGAAAATTGAGGCTATGATAAACTCACACACACGCATATTATATACATGCGTGCGGTGTGCTAGCACGAGCACCCTCCTCCTCCTCCTTCTTTTTGACTTTCTCTCTCTACTGGATACGACTGCTTCAGTTTGATGCTTGGAGTCAGGTCTGCGTTCGGGAAAGTCTGTGGCTGCTGCTGTGCCTTCAGCTCGCATATCTCCCTCGCCAGGTGGAGGAAACACTCCCTTACGTTGTGGTTGTTCTTGGCACTCGCTTCAAGGAACAGCATGTCGTGGAGCTCGGCATATCTCTGTGGGGAGGGGGAGAGAGGGGAACGGAACGAGAGAGTAGGGGGGCTGGGGGGAGGTGTTGTGTCATTGTGGAATCCCTCAAAATAGTCATTATATCTCAAGCCTCTGAAATAAGATTATATCTCGATCATAAATGCATTTCTGTCTAATCGATGTCCGGATTAGAGGGGTTCCATGAGAAATGAGGATAAGAGTATATATTCCGGTGAAGGAAGGATGGTGACGTGTACATGTTCAAGCTTCTGTTTACTAGGAAGTGATGGCAGGAGGCAAGTGAGTGACACTTTGTCATAATGTCACCCTTTCCAATGTATAAGTAGTAGGGGGGAGCCCACACAGTATGGAGCGAGGTGTAATATTATAGGAGGAAGGAAGGAAGCAGAGGTTTACTATAATTATAGTTGCATAGTTGCAGTAGATTTTTGTGAGGTGATTATGTTGATTGCACATATATAGTTACCACACTTCGTATAATTATTATGTCACTTGCATATTTTATACTTCTCAAGGAAACTTGGCGACAAATAATTATACAGGATTCAAATCGGAGACCACTTTAAGGACACCCCATATATACTAATACATTAGCTAATACTACAACCTCTGAATAAGGAACACTGTGTGTTAACGTGTCCCTTATGTAGAGGTTTCACTGTTGACCCATTATGTTATATAGAGACACAAAACCAGAGAGGGTAGGGAGGGTATGTGGCAGAGAGAGAAGTGGGGAAGAGCAGCGTCTAACCTTTGCTTGTGACAAGTCGACTTCTGCAGGCAAGTCACACTTATTCCCGACTAGTAGCTTGATGGCCTCCGGACATCCGCTGAGGGTAATAGAGTTGAAATACATGGTCTGTAATCTCTAGTATACTGGTCTGCTCGGTTAGTAAACCCTGTGTAGAGGTTAGTAATCTCTAGTAAACTGTGTGTGGAGTTGTGCTTGGGTTAGTAATGTAGTTAAACGGTGCTTTAATATTCTGTATGAGGTTAGTAATCTCTAGTATACTGGTCTAAAGTTGTAAGCTTTTGTGGTGTGGTTAGTAATCTCACTAGAGTAGTTAGTATTCTTTTTACAGAGGTTAGTAATCTTTAGTATACTACCTCTCTGGAGCATCGACTGCATTCATCCATATTGTCTCTATGTTTGTGAATGATCGCGGTTTTGTCACGTCGAATACAAATACCACACCATCAGCCTTTCTGTGAAAAGAGAGAGACAACGGTTGGCAAAGGGTTAATTATCAATAGCCAGTAAGGTTAGGGTTAAATGGTACGTGAACCTTCTACAGTGCTATATATCAGCGTGACGTAATGTTAAACTGCTGAAATTTTACACTCAGGTTCGTTCACCCAAGATGTGTTGCCATAATTATTAAGTGTGTAACCAACCTGTAGTAGACGGCTGATATTGACATGTATTTCTCAGAGCCTGCCGTGTCCCAGATCTTCACCTGCGAGGTAAACACAAGACAGCATCCATAATACTATAATAGCCAGTGAGGGTCGACACTGGCACCATGGCGATTATCAAGGCCACATAACCATAGGGAAGAAGGGAGGAGGCTGGGCACAACATTACCCAACTTAGGGAAAGACCAGAAATCGTATGATATTGTACTCACGTTACAACTGTATATTTACTCAGTGAAAGGCACACCTTATCATATCAGACAGTGTATGTACATTTGGCTCTGATCTCTCGCATGCGCCGCACAGATTACGCAACGTGTGAAGTTGTTTGCACGTGTGTCAGTCAGTCTGATTCCACATTTCCACCCAAACAGCTCGGCCAAAAACTGAACACCAACAGCTTCAGCGCTACATTGGCTTGATTTTAAGGACACTTCACTAATAGCTCTCTTCCACCTATTGGTGTCTGGATTAGAGGGTACCCCTGTATATACGATAATCCTACCGTCTCTTCACCTTAATCTTTTTTCCATTTATGTCGATTTCACTGAGATAGAAATCGACGCCGACGGTGGTTTCCATGTTGGCGACGTACGACCCCTCGCAGAACCGGCGAATGAAGCTAGACTTCCCGACTCCGTTGTCTCCAATGAGGATGATCTTGAAGATGTGGTCGTACGTGACCTGCGAACTGCTTCCTTCTGCCGTTGCCATGACTGTATGGGAAGGGGGAGGGGAAGGGGGGGAGAAAGCAGGAGCGAGATATTATAGAGGGGAAGAAGGAAGAAGAGAAGAAAGAAGGACAGAGTGCGGGTGAGGGAGGGAGAGAGGAAAACAGAAAGTAGTAAAATGTTTCTGCGTTCCTTCATAAAGCGGGTGGTGATATGGTAACCACTCTCAAAATAATGTGAATTTCCAGTAAACTATTGAGCAAATTGTCTCTGCACGTCTACAACTATAACTCCTGAAGAAGCGATCACATAATATGAGCAGAATGTTGTGGTCTATGGTCTGAAGGTATACACGTTCACCCCTCACATTTCCTTGGTACAAGGCAAGGACAGGATCGTCCGTGAGTGTTCAAAGATAGGGAACAGCATCTGGTCTAACACTATGGCACACACTATGGTCTGGTTGTATGATCACTGTTCATTCAGACATCCCTGAATTGGACACCTTGTCATCAACGTCCTGATAACAGAGGTAGAGGACCATCCCGGTGTCCTGAACCGCATAGCCAGCCTCTTTCGCAAACGCGCATATAACATCGAGAGTCTCTCCGTCGGTCACTCGCACCGGCCGGGTATTTCTCGCATGACAATTGTCGTGGCGGAAGAACACAAGGATGCAATACAGGTAGCAAAGCAGTTGGCTAAGTTGATCGAGGTGATCTCAGTTACCGACGTCACCGAGCAACGCCACGTATCGCGCGAGATGGTCCTTGCCAAAGTGGCCGCGCCGGAGATGAAGCGCTCGGAGATTTTGCAGCTCGCCAATGTCTACCGCGCCCAAGTGGTGGATGTGTCGCCGGGCAGCATTATTCTCGAAGTGACGGGTGACGAAGATAAGATCGACTCGTTCGTCGAGATTATTCGTCCCTATGGAATCTTAGAGTTGAGCCGCAGCGGCGAGGTCGCCATGGTGCGGGGTCGTGCAATGCCAACGCCCACGGTTGTGGCGGAAGAAGGACCGGCGGCTTAACCTGTTTGCGCGCACGGGCGAACCCGCTCTATAGCTGAAGAGGCGGCTCGCACATGCATGGAATAGAAACCAAATCAGAGTGAAGAGAGGGTACAGTGGTTCAGGTCTACTACGACGAAGACGCCAATATTGATCTGCTCAATGATAAGACGATTGGCATCATTGGGTACGGCAGCCAGGGACACGCCCACGCGCTGAATCTGCGCGACAGCGGCTGCTCGGTAATGGTAGGGCTCTACGAGGGCAGCCGCTCTTGGTCGAAAGTAGAGAGCGATGGTCTACGCGTTGACGCCGTGGACGCGGTGGCACAGCAGGCAG